ACGATCGCTCAGGCGCACATTGTGGTTGGCTTGGTGGGTAGATAGTCAGCCATGTGAAAGTTGGAGATGGTCTTCACCACAGTCCTCCATAGAGAATCCCATGGAAGGCTGTCAACCACTCACCCAAAGGTAACCTTAGGTACGACGGCGCAGAGATATCCGTACGTAGTACGTAGAGTCATGTCAAATTCAAGCCACAACGTCGCTAGCGTAGTTCCGGGAATGCTGTCACCCCGGACCGGCCGCCGCACACTGCAGGCGCTCATCTGGATAAAAGGAAAGAAATCTCGATGCAAGATGAGGTGGGTGCACAACACAAGGTGACAAACTCCTCACTTCATGGGAGACGCTTGTTGAATTTAGTTCCCACATGTGAAGGCATAAAAAGTGGTGGAAGGGTAGCAAGATGGTCCGTGCTCGTTGTTCCCGATCAAGCTCGAGGCTTCCCGCGGCAGGTCCGCCCGAGGGAAGAGACATGGAAGAGAAGCCTAGGAGGAGGAGGAGGAGGAGGAGGAGGAGGAGGAGAGGAATGCAGGTGGTCCTAGGAGTAAGGTGGGAATTGGCCCTCCAAAGTCTTGCTGGCTGCAGCGGCGGTGCGAAGTTGGAAGAGTGAGGCGGTGGGTGGGGTCCTTCTCTTTTTCCACGTCTCGTCGCAGAAACAAACAACCGTCCACTCACAGCACGAGTAAAAGCCGGACGACGCTGCAGGTACACTCGCTACGTACCTCTTGCACTGGGTCCCTTTGAAAGCCTCTAGGCCGAAACAAGTTAGATTGCAGGTTCAAGGTCACCAGTCCCACTGGACTCCACGGGCATTTGCTTCGTTGTGCTGGAGCTGCTGCTAAAGCTGCTGGCATTGCTGGCGCGGTACGAAGCGTGGAAGCCCACCCCAGAGGTGAGGTATGCAGAGTGCACCGCTGTTTTGTGCTGTCCATGCTGTCTGACGCTTTCCGAGCAGGGCAGCTTTGCTTTCCATTTGCTGGTTGCTTGGTGACTGCTACTAGCACTTTGGTACCTATGCACTCTCTGGTCGTTCCTGTCCCCACTAACCTCAGAAAGGCCCAGTGCTGCTTCTCCGATTGCTGCTGCGGGCTGCTGCAACCTGATCCTGGGTCATTGCTCCGCGAGAGACAACTGGAGCAGCCGTCGCTTTCTTCCCAAAACCTCACTTGACCGACTCTATCGCCCATCAACCGACTAATATTCGGGCCTCTCCCACCCGCTAGAACCGACCGTCGCAATTCGCTGACCATCGACTTGCATCAAAATCTGCTTCTCAGACTAGCTCCATCGTCAAATCGACACTGCTATCCAGTGGCCAGAGTCACCACAGGCTCCGCATCCCTCTGGTCGTCGGGCGGCCAAACCGTTCGTGTTGCGAAGAGAAGCCCCATCCAAACAAACAAGGCCCGACTTTCTCGACCACCACCTCGACATCGAGTCTCGATATCATCAACATCGGCCTTTGTAGCCCACTTCGGCCATGGGAGCCTGCCAGTCATGTTGCGGAGGTATTAGCTTTCCATCGTCATGCCGACTACATCGCCAAAGCTAATGGGTGATCATGTAGGGAGAGCCCGCGATGGTCTCTACGAACCAGTCCTCGCCGATAGCGAAAGAGAAGCCGTTGCCGACCTTCTCCAGTATCTCGAAAACGTATGTGCTTTTTTCGTCATGGTCTATTTCGTCGACCTTCCATACTGACGTTGTTTCAGCGGGGTGAAACCGACTTCTTCTCAGGCGAACCCCTTCGAGCTCTCAGCACCCTCGTCTTCTCCGAAAACATCGACTTGCAACGGAGCGCAAGCCTGACTTTTGCCGAAATCACAGAGCGAGGTACGTCCTCTAGCCTTGTAGTCGATTAAAGGATCACATTGAGGATGCCATTTGCGACGTAGCATTTGGCGTAGATATGCTGACAAGCTGCTCCAGATGTTCGCGAGGTCGATCGTGATACTCTCGAACCGATCCTCTTCCTCTTGCAAAGCCCCGATATTGAGGTGCAGCGCGCCGCCAGCGCGGCGCTAGGAAATCTCGCGGTCAACAGTGAGTGAAGCGTAACAGGCAAGACTGCAGAGTAGATACTGACTCGATTTATCAGCCGAAAACAAGGTTCTGATTGTCCAGCTCGGCGGACTCACGCCACTCATTAGGCAAATGTTGTCGCCGAATGTTGAGGTACAGTGCAACGCAGTTGGATGTATCACAAATTTGGCCACACATGAGGAGAACAAGGCGAAGATTGCGCGCTCTGGCGCCTTGGGCCCTCTGACGAGGCTGGCAAAGTCGCGGGACATGCGGGTTCAGAGAAACGCGACTGGAGCTTTGCTAAATATGACACATTCAGGCAAGGCGTTTTTATCTCGCAAATTTGAACTCTGAACTAACCAGGACGATAGACGAGAACCGCCAGCAACTCGTTAACGCCGGCGCAATTCCGGTTCTTGTCCAGCTTCTCTCTTCATCTGACGTCGACGTCCAGTACTACTGCACGACGGCTCTCAGCAACATTGCAGTCGATGCTAACAACCGACGCAAACTTGCCCAGACTGAGTCCAAGCTCGTCTCGTCGCTGGTCACGCTTATGGATTCATCATCACCTAAGGTTCAGTGCCAGGCAGCGCTCGCTCTTCGCAACCTTGCTTCTGACGAGAAGTACCAACTCGATATTGTGCGGTCAAACGGTCTCGCGCCTTTGCTTCGACTCCTGTCTTCATCCTACCTCCCCTTAATTCTTTCGGCCGTCGCCTGCATACGAAACATCTCGATCCACCCCCTCAATGAGTCGCCCATCATTGAAGCCGGTTTCCTGAAGCCCCTTGTCGACTTATTGGGCTCTACCGAGAACGAAGAGATCCAGTGCCACGCCATCTCAACCCTTAGGAACCTCGCTGCCAGCTCTGATCGTAACAAGGCCCTCGTCCTTGATGCCGGCGCAGTTCAAAAGTGCAAGCAGCTCGTCCTCGATGTGCCGGTTACCGTTCAGTCCGAGATGACCGCTGCGATTGCTGTTTTGGCTCTTAGCGATGAGCTCAAGTCTCATCTTCTCAACCTCGGCGTCTTTGAAGTTCTTATTCCTCTCACTCATTCACCTAGCATCGAAGTCCAGGGCAACAGCGCTGCAGCTCTTGGAAATCTCTCTTCGAAAGGTTTGTTCAGCTCCATCATACCGTGTTCAACTGTGATCTAACACCTCAATAGTGGGAGACTACGCGGTCTTCGTTCAGGATTGGAAAGAACCCAACGGCGGTATCCACGGATACTTGACGAGATTCCTCCAGAGCGGCGATGCTACGTTCCAGCACATAGCAATCTGGACTTTGCTTCAGTTGCTCGAGTCCGAGGACAAAAACCTCATTCAGTTAATTGGCCAAGCACAAGACATTGTTGATCAGATCAAGGAGATCGCCAACCGTCAGATCGAGCCGGACAACGAATTCGAAGACGACGATGAAGGCGAAGTTGTCAACTTAGCACAGCGGTGTCTCGAGCTTCTTGGCCAGAGCGGCTCGAAGTCTCACATTGAAGGTTAAACCATGACCTCTGCAGGGCATTTTGCAACATTATTTTATTCTCCAACTTCCCTAGCAGGGTACTACAGTAGGACCGAGGGGTCTGGGGTTTCTGGTCGGCGGTGTTTTGGCGTTGGTCATGCAGAATGAGATTCGGTTGTTACGTTGAGTTTATATTTCGGCGTAGAAGCATTTTGAAGGAGCGTTTATTTTGGCGTGCCTGCCCTCACTGGCGAGATCATGCCGCCAGAGGGGCGGGCTAGTTTCTCCTATCAGGAAGACCCGAACCCTTTACTTTGTACCAAGCATCATGGCTCGTTTGTCGGGTCGTCCGTGTCTCATATTATTCGGCCTTTTAACAGGCTTGATGAGCTTTTATCTGGTGCCATTGGCTCCCCTACCCGTTGTAATTAGGATCATACTTTAGAGGATTGGAAGAACAACTCACAATCTGTGACGAATTCAGCTTACGGAGTCTCCCGTCGCCAACTTTCGCGTCTTTCTTGTATCGTATTTGTGACATGGCACAGTTGTCCTTGAATCTTGTGCGCCACTCACTCCCGGCCATCTTAGACATCGCGAAGCCCGTTCTCAGCTGTCCCTCCAGGGGAGAGAAGCGATAGCCACCATGGCTTATTGACAGCTTTTCCCCTGATCAGAGCCAAAGGCACTGGGCCATACAATCGCGAATCTCTCGATGCTTCGAGATTATCACCCACAACCCAGCAATGACCCTGAGGAACCTACACAGATATTCTTAGCAAGGGTTTCCGGTTGGGCGATGACCTAGATGTCGTTACCTGTATCATCTTCTGCTTCTCTGCATCAGGGCTGCCTAGCATAACGTAGTCGCCAGGCATACCTATCACGCGTTTGATGCCATCGGATTCTGGGAAGATTGGAATCTTGAAGTGAACTAAATCGCCAACAAGTACGTTGCGACCGTAACGATAACGATGATCGACTAGAATTGATTCGCCTGCCACTTGAAATGTTGGAAGCATGGACGGTCCCGATGCTGGGCCCATGAAGAAGCCATATTCCATCATGACATGACTAAGAGCCAAGGTTTTGCCTACGTTAATGGCCAGACGTAGAGGCTTTCCTGCCATTTTGCTAGGACTACTGTGTCTGTGGACTTGCAGTGTATCGATTGCCTGAATGTTTGATCTTTGGTGATTCAGGACGTTAAGACGGGGTGTGAAAGTGACGAGACACACGGAGCCGGCGTTCCGCGGGAGCTTGGACCATCGAAAGCTCGTCGCATAGGATTGTGATGTGTGATTGGTGGGAGAGCTGCCTTAGTTACCAAAGACCCCATGTGTCTTTCGCCTGTCTCTATTCCTCAATTCTGCAACTTGCAATCACAGGTCCAGCTCCAAACGGCAACCGTACAACAAAAGTGAGACTGACAGATTCGTGCCCGAACCGACACTCCTGAAACCCCGAGACGGCCATCTTACCAAAGAACGGGATCCCCGAGCAAACATGAGGATCACACAATGCCTGCACAATAGCAGGACGGCCCTGTATAGGGTCTTCGTCTCGCCCTTTGAAAAGGTGGAATCGATTTCTCGACGAAGCGCTCTCCTAAGCCCAGTCTCTAGGACCCTACCAACAATTCTGTCACCGCCGCTACAAGGTTTCTCACGCCACGCCGCCCTGATTCCCCGATTCAAAAAGAAGAAGCCATCGCCATCAGGACAAGTACCCGGCGGCGACGCTGCTGCCAAGCCAGGCCAGCTTCCCCAGGACAGGGCGATCTCCGATCGTGAAGTCATGGTCGTCGACGAGAACAACAAGCTCACCGGCCCGCATAACACCCGAACGTTCCTAAGGTCGCTCGACCCTGAGACGCAGTCCCTCCGAATGGTCTCCAGACCGCCCCCGCGCCCCGCGCCAGGCCAGCCGCCGTTTGCAATCTGCCGCATCGTCGACAAGGTCGCCGAGAAGGAGAAGGAGAGGGCGCTGCAAAAGGCCAAGAAGGATAACGCGCGCAGATTAGCGAGGGTCAAGGAGCTTGAGCTCAACTGGGCCATCGCGCCGCACGACATGGGCCATAAGATGAAGCAGATGAAGACGTTTCTGGAAAAGGGGTACAAGGTTGAAGTCATTTTTGCGAAGAAGAAGAATAGCAGAATCGCTACACTGGAAGAAGCTGGCGCGCTTGTGCAGCAGGTCCGGGATGCTGTGGCGGAGGTTGCGGGCGCCAGGGAGTACAAGGAAGCCGAGGGGCAACCGCGTAAGGTCATGAGGCTGCACCTGGAATCGATAGCGAAGCCCGCAGTTAAGGCTACCCCTACACCAGAAGCCCCGGCTGTAGAGGCTGCGCCGGAAACATCGACCTGATGTAGTGGCGGGCTGCTTGAGAATCGGGGTGGTTGAGCTGTGCTTGCTTACTCCATGAGACGGCACCTACGATTTGGACAGAGTCGGTGTTGGCCTGTACATCAGAACTTCCTTGGAAGGCTTGTATCATAGAAAAATAGTAGAAAAGGCCGTCTTGTCCGAATAGAGCGGCCATAAATTTTGTGTCTCGTTCCTCGTCAGCAAATTATGTGTCCTCTGGACTTTGAGATTACATTAGATCGCTGCTCTTTACGACAGAGTAACAAACTGGATTGAACAGCTCGCAGCGTACCATATGATTACGGAACTCTTGCGAATATATCTCTGGAATCAAGTTATAAGCAACATGTGACTAGAATGACTATCTAATGGGTTGATACTCCGTAGAGCCTTGCGATACTTGTTTAGCACTCTTCCAAGAGGAATAGGAAGAAAGCTAGTGCTTGTTAATATTTCACAGTGCGACCATGTAGTACAATTGGCCTCCTTCAGCCCGGCATTCTTATGTCTTAGTCTACCTTGGGGTAGTTGAGAAGTCCCTGTATGTGTTTCTCATGGGATTAATACATATCTGAAAGAAATGGAAAAGCTTTGTTCATTAAGGTGGCTCCAGCAATCATTTGCACCGTTGAGCGGTGATTGGCACCACAACTAAGAACGTCACTCCCCGCACCATGCAGGTAAGCTTTAGCGAGCTTTTAGCGCGGGGCACCCGTCGCATCCCGCCTTGCAAACCCCTGTGACTCAACCCTCCAAAACTTCTCAGCCTTTTTGACTCGATCAAAGGAAACTCCGACCGCCAACCCGAAGGAGTCTCGACAAACGCTCCTAAATCCAACACAAACGATCCGATTCTACACGACTTTCGGTCTAAACTGAACCAAGCCCACCAGAGAAATTTCGCAACGCAGAATAGGGGAAGAGGGACGGAGCAATGGCGACAGAGACACCAAACACTGAGCCGCCTAAGGCTGTCGAAGACAAAAAGACTCAGCAACCTGCCAAGAAAGATGGCGGAGCGCAAAAGAAGGACGCGACAGCTGCCACAGCAGCAGAGGGAGGCGAGAAGAAGCTGTCAGGTGCCGAGCTGAAGGCAAAGGCAAAGGCTGAGAAGGCGGCGAGAAGAGCAAAGGCCAAGGAGGCGCAACCAGCACCACCGCCTGGCCAGGGAGGAGCTCAGCAGACCGGAGGAGGAGAGGCAAAAGGAGGAAAGTCGAAACCCCGACAAGATGGTCCTCAGGGCGCCGGTGGAGCTCGAGGCGGCCCTGCGGTCAAGGCCGTTCCGGTCGCGATCCCCAAGGACACCAGGCCCAAGGTCCCCGAGTGCTTCAGTCACCTGTCTATGGCCAAGAGGATACACATGACGGAGGTCGATAAGGACGTCCATCCGGCAGTTCTGGCTCTGGGCCAGCAGATGAGCGCGTTTGCGATTACCGACAGTACCACAAGACTAGAGGCGACTCTGTTGGCATTCAAGAAGGTAAGCCAACTACGGCCCCTTGTCTAAACCCAATATCAAGTGTTAGTCTTCTAACATTGCATTAGGTGATTGATTCTTACACAACACCCCCGGGCAACACATTCTCGCGCCACTTCACATCACACATCCTGAACCCTCAGATCGAGTACCTCTCGGCATGCAGACCCATGTGCTTCTCCATGGGTAATGCCGTCCGCTGGCTCAAGCTCCAGGTCAGCAAGATCGACATTGATCTGCCCGACTTTGAGGCCAAGAAGCTCCTCCGCGAGTCCGTCGACAACTTCATCCGCGAGCGCATCACCCTCGCCGACTTCGTCATTGTCAAGACCGCCGCCGACAACATCGCCGACGGCGAAGTTGTCCTGACGTACGCTCACCACCCGCTCGTCGAGCGCGCCCTCCGCCAGGCCCACGCAGACGGCAAAAGGTTCTCCGTCACCGTCGTCGATGACCCATTTGAGAGCACCGGCCGCGACCTCGCAAAGCGGCTGCGCGCCCTGCAGGGCGTCGAGGTGGCCTATAGCCCCGACCTGAGCGCCATGCGGGATCATCTTCGTGATACGTCGCGCGTATTGGTCGGAGCGGAGGCCATGTTCAGTAACGGCGCCATGTACGCCAGGGCCGGCACGAGTGATATTGCCATTGCGGCGGCTGATCAGGGTATCCGGGTCATGGCTCTTAGCGAGACCATTAACTTTACCGAGAGGGTCGCCATGGACTCGCTCACGTATAACGAGATCGACCCCGAGCAGATCACCGAGGAGGCTTTCAGACTGCTCTTTGACACCACCCGTGACCGCCACATCTCAGTCGTCGTCACCGAACTGGGCATCACGTCGCCTGTGTCTGTGCCTGCCATTCTCCGAAAGCTGGAGGAGCTGTAGAGCACGGGCGTAGGAATGGGTCAGGTGGTGTTTGTAGCAGCCATGGGGAAAGTCTTGAGGGGGCCGAGGGGTCCTGCTGCGGTGACCCCTTAGATATATACCAGTCACGAAAGCTCGATTGAGTTTGCACCATAGATCAATTAAGCATGAGAAGCAGTTCTGAAGCACGTCCTGGGCCCAATTTGATGATGGGGATGCCTTAGGGATTGCACTGTAGATAACAATGACTTTTACGGCGTCAATTAAGCCTCCCCTTCTTTCTACGTAACATACACAAAGGGACTCTGAAGGGATTTCCCAATTGGCGTCCTAATCAGTTCCCGCGCAATCCCAGTTCCCCCTCTAGAACGAGAATGATTCCTCGAGGTCCCGAATCGACACCCGAATTGACCGGTCCCCATCTGCCTCTTCCTCACTCAGACGGGCGTCACAAAGCTTGTCTCCGCCAGAAAGCCTTTGGGTCTGGTCTCTGCCCCCTCTCTCTGTCTCTCTCTTTTGTCGATGATTTTCGTCCACTCTTGAAATTTCGTAGTCTTCTATGACTGCTCCGCCTCCTTGCGCGCCGCCGCCCTCGCGCGCTTCTCGAGCAGGATGGACTTGCGCTCGCTGAGGATGGACGACTGCCTCTCGTCGACGCCCTGTAGCCAGTAGCCAAAGCTGCCACCGCCGAGCATGTAGACCGGGTAAACCCAGAGGGACTCCTTGTTGAAGAAGGGGCGCATTTCAATGCCCATTTGCCAGAAGCGGACGGCGAAGCCTGTTGGGTTGAACGTCGAATGTTAGTGGACTACGTCTTGAAGTTTCCCGTGTTTTCAGTGGCGAAAAAGGAGCTTGTGACTATTCTCTCGTGAATCCGAACCAATTGGCCTCCATGGCAACCGGGAGATCCATTCCGTAGATTATCGTCGCCTGATGAAGGGGGGAGGGAGGTATCACGCACCGAAGCCACTCCAGAAGAGGACCCTGCCAACCATTGTCGCGGTGAATATGTGTGTTTCGTCTCGAGGGTGAGTGTTGGTAAGTCGATTGACGAAGGTGGGCCGCTTTGTCCGCCGGGACGTAGAATTGGGGTGAGTAGTTCGATTGGATTGGGCCGTGACAATTCGAGATACGATGTGAAGCTTCCCCCGGTGGTGACGGGCTGCAAGGTGTGTGGGAGGTCCGCGTACCCGCCGAGTGCACGGCCAAATGAACCAATCGCTGCGGTTTGCGGAATAATTGCAAATCCAGTTTTTCCGATTCGATCGCTGCCCTGCGCGGCGGCGCGGGATTTGGGGGCGTGCTTGGGTTTTAGGTGCTACAGCGCTGTAGGGCCCTGGAAGTTTGGCTGTTGAGGCGTCGAAGCACTGGAACATCGCTGTAAAATCCGGGCTCTGACGAGCTCAACTAGCTGACTAGCTACAAGAGTTCAATAGCAATGGTGTTTCTCAACAACATCCGATATGGTGTAGTGGCCAACATGATGCCCTCTCATTTCTGTGAGAGGTTAGGCATAGCCCCGAGTTCGATTCTCGGTTTCGGAAACTTTTGCTTTTCTTACGCATCTATCCACACAAGTGACTCGTTCTTCTGATTCTCCCTAACTTAAGGCAGCCTTGTTTCTTCCCTAGTTATTGATTCTGTCATTTTTACTGCTCACGATGTTCTTCAGGACGCACGAGTTTGCCGCAGCTTTCAACAAGTGGTTCAACTCTTTAACACAACAGATGACAACTGACAATCAAAGGCATGGGTATCTTTATTATGCAGGTCGTACACAAGAGCTCTCGCGACAGACTTCCGCCAACAGAGTCCAAGTAGCTCCAAGTCTATCTATCTTACACGGTCGAAAGTTTACAAGGCACCGCCCACGGCCTGGGCGATCCACATGGCTATCCTCACCTGGATGCCAACCCGCCTCTCATTTTTGGAAAAGTCCTCACGGGTTACTCGCTCTGCGTGATCTTGGAGCCACGTCTGCTCCTCGCCGAGGCGCTTCTTGAGGTCTTCATCCTTTGTGAGGATCATGGCACCAGCCTCAAGATCGTGGGTATAGCTGCGTTTGGTATAGTTGGAACTTCCGACAATACTAATTGATGGGTTTTGTTCTCCCGGCAGTGTGATCCAGAGGCCCTTGGCATGATATGTCCAGCCGCCGGGCTCGCCGATCGTTCCCTTGCGCCACTCTTTAAGAGCGATTGAGTCGTCGAGCTTGCGTTCGTGGACGGCGCGGACAAAACGGCGCGCGAGAAGAGTGTAGGCGCCTGGCAAGAGTCCAGACACGCCTGGGGATTGGTAGAAACCGTTTGCCTGCTGAGAGGCGGTGATGACGACATTGCTTTGTGATGCCGTCGACAGCAGGAGCTTGGTCAGTGACGGCGCAGGGTTGAAGTAACCTGCGGTAAAGGTCCACGACGAGCCGGCGTACTCGGGCTTCCCAAGTGTTGATAGTACATGAGTGACGGCAGGAAGCTCTGTAGAGGTGTTTGGGCTCATGAGCTGTGTGAGTTGGGAAAGCATGTAGACCTTGGTGTCTTTGCCCACATCCGCAGAGGCTGCTTGCGTGGGCGAAATCAGAGCATTGAGGGCAGGAGTCGTGGTGCCGATGAACTGCTTCGGCTCTTTAAGGGGAGACGGCGCGGGGTTAGACTTAGGCCAGGTCAGGGCGAAGCCAGCAGGTTCTTGCGAAGGCTCAACGAGAAAACTGAAAGAGGATACGCCCTGGTGGATGTTCCAGAAGTAGTCGGTCACCTCCTTGGAGGAAAAGAGGTGGTAACGATCTTGTCGGTTCGTGAAGTAGTCTGATGAGAGGTTCGCCCTACATGGTTGTTAGTCTCAGTCCCAACTCGGAAATCCTTGCAGCAGCTCCATACCCAGAGAGAATAATTTCGTCATCAACGCCATATAGCTTCATGTGTTGTAGGCCCCAGCCCTCGTTGATGCGCTTTGGTATGTACTTCTTCCTCAACCCCGTCAGGTTCGGTGTGTGGTACATGCGGATTTCCACTCTATCTGGGCCAAACTCCGATACGAGTGGTGCGAGAAGTGATGCGCATGACGGATTCGGCTCCTCTCGCGTGCCTCGTAGGGCGTCCGTCAGAATGCTTAGCTTCAGCTCAGGGTTGTTTCGCAGAGCTTCGTGTAGGGTCGCAATCTGGACATGACCACCGTCAGAACCTGTTCCAACCCATGCGCGTGCAATATAAACTGACCAACTCTTTCTCTGTCTTTCCGATGTATAACGTTGACAGGAAGATCCTCTTCTTTGCATTCCGTATCCGCTCCTAATGTACACCCCGTATTAGTCCCCAAACACATAGCCAGTGCTGCGCGTGTTCGTAATGCACACCTTTAATGTCTCGTAGAAATCGGCCGGCGTTCTGATAATCTTAATCTGGGAGCCGTTGATGCTGAAAGAAGGTGCGATCCTGTCGAGTTCGTTCGCGAACGGCGCAAGCATGCCAGCTGCGCTACCGGAGCTTGAAGCCGTTGGGGTACCAGCGGCAGGCGTCGCGAATTGTCGGCATTGCGGTTGAGCGCGTGTAATGTTCGTTCGGGCAAATGGGAGCTTGAGCTTGGTAGAGCACCGCGACACGCCACGGACAATCATATCGTATTCGTCGTTTGGTATTCCACCGCCACGTCTAGATGTCTAGTAGGTACTCTTCCCAAAAAAGTTCATCCAAAGACGGAGAGCTTTCGAGGTTCCAAAGTTCTGGGGACAACGGTGCGTGCATGAAGCTCTGTCATTGGCGGCGGGGGTTGCCGTGAGCGCCAGGGAATCCAAAGACCAATTGCCTTCGAGTTTATGTAATCCAGAGCTCCACTCTGGCACCAGCGTCGCTCAACCTTCCCAAACGTCAGGTCTTCAATCACATCGTCGACAGCAATCAATAGCTTCTTGAGGTCAATTGACCAGCCGCCACCATGTCGACCCCCGGAAGAACAATCGCCAACCTGCGCAAGGTTGGAATCAAGGCATGTATCCTCCTGGTTCAAACGTTGTCGCTGCCATCGCTAACTTTCGCTCCTAGAACTATTTCCGCCAATTGCTGGTACATGGCCTCCCGAACCCCCCGATTGCAATTGCCCCTCTAACGCTCGAGAATAGTACATCGGTGACACCAAGCATGGTCGTCTTGTAGGCGAGGATAAGGCCGGCAACAAGTACTTCGAGAACAACGACGAACTCCCCCGTATGGAACCCCCAAGCGAACAGCGCCAGCAAATGGACAATGAAGGACCGTGGGGCTAACAAGCAACAAATAGTGCGTACGCGCTGGGTGGACTTCAAGGTGCACGACTACGACTCGGCGCAGGTCGAGCCTGGCTGGCACGCTTGGTTGGGATACATGGTCGACAAGCCGCCCACCGAGGACGCCCTTCTCCAGACCAAGACTCGCAAGTGGGAAGTGCCACACGTGCTTCCCAACTTCACGGCTACCCCGGGAGCCTACAAGCCATACAACACGTAAGTGGAAGTGTCATCACTTGAAACTGAGGATGGAATGCTGACAATTGGTGCAGAGTCAAACCGAAGATTCGTGCGTGGGAGCCCAAGGCAGTTGAGAGGCAATGAGTTGCGGAAGAACGGGGTTGATGTACATAAGCCAAAGTCGCTTAACGCAATTTCAGGGTTTTGCTTTGTGTTAAAAATGTTGTAGATGTTGGACGACGCGAATTCGCATTGAGTGACAAATGACCAAGCACCGGCATTGGCATTGGCATGAAAGGAGATTTTGCAATATCTCAAGGAACAGCCTCAAGTGGCTTGCGTACCGCTTCTCTCACCGTGGTAAATTCATTAGGAGAATGAACAGCCAGGCTTCCAGCAGATTCAAGGTGACAGGAACGAAATACCAGGCATTGCAGCCCGTTTAGACGGAATAGCTGGGGCGTGTGACAAGTCTGATGTTGGAGTGTTGGATGATAGCAGCGTTCCTATCTCGATAGTTTTAGCTGCTGTTGACTTTCGAGAGGTACACAGAGGGGAGGCCGATGAAGAAGAAATTCGTCTTGTGTAAAGTGGCTTGATTAGTGATTTCGACACTACTAAGGCCTCTCCATTTCGCTGGCTTTGTGAGTGATAACCACTATGGCTCCTAATCATTCATCGGGCCCTTCGTAGGCGAACAATGTCCGTTGTCTCGGACTACTACTTCTTGCCAGCGACCTCAGCGAACCCCTTCTCCTCAAGTTCCAGCGAACCCAGATCGGGCACAAGCGGCGTTTCCGTACCCTCCGCTGCTACCGCCGCCCCGTTTGCCTTGGCTGCGACGCCCTCACCGTCCGCAGCGTAGTCAACCCAAGCTGGCGGGTTGATCCTGCTAGGATTCGCCTCGCCCTTAAAGTGGTAGCCTCTCGCCCTCGGTCTCGTCCCCGTGCCCTGCGGCAGCTCCGCTTCGTACGCCGCGACGAAGCGCTGCGACTGCTCCTCAAACTCAGCGGCGCCCTTTGCGAGGGTCGCTCGGATTCCGGCGAAGAAGTCGGCCATCACCTGATGGTTGTGAATCTGTAGTAGCGTCCAGCCGAGCATCTCCTTGGCGTTCAAGAGGTGGTGGAGGAAGGCCCTGTGGTGTGTCGTGCAGGCGTAGCACTTGCAGCCTTGGGAAAGGGGTTCCATGGCCACCTCGTTTTCGGGAGCCCACATGTCGTCGCCGAGAGGCTTGGTAGCATTGCCTTGATTTTCAGGTGGAGGGAAAGTGAAGGACAGCGCTACACCTGCGTCGGAGATGGCGTTGATGAATGGTATCGTGCAAATATCGACTCCAAGGGAAATCTGTCGGAGAATAGCTTGTGGTGTCTCGGGAATGTGCAATGACAGACGAGGAAGAGAATCCAGGGATTTGTGGTGGTCCTCAATATCGGGCAAGATATCAACATCGTAGAGAGCAAGTCCCGAAAGCGAGTCGACGACCTCGTCTGCTAGGTGGCGAAGATACTCCCACTGCACGGTGTACGGCACCGCAAGAACAGGCGCAAACACCGAGACCCCAGACGCCTTGAAAAGTTCGCGCCTATTGGCCGTCAAAAACACATCGGTCCATTCCTCGGTCCGCTCAGCCATGCGAACAAGCTTCTTTGAGGCCGGCATCGTGCTCGTGTGAAACAGATCAGCGGGGCCGATGGCGATGTCAGGCTTCAGCGTCTCGACAGCCGCACAGTACTCGTCGGTGGAGAGGTTCCTGAAGCCGGTCGAGGTGAAGATGGCCACGAACTTTGCGCCATTGCCCACGGGAGTCTTAACCGCTGGGTTTCTCCTGGCAGCAAGAACCGTAGCTATGCTTTCGGGCAGGCAAGAAAAGGTATGGAGTGGCTTCTTTTCTGGCGAGGGTATTGAAAGCGCTGAAGGGTTCTTCTTCTCAATGACTTTGGTCGATAGTTAGCTTCGCGCCACGATAGACAGGTTAGGACAGATTGATTAGATTAAACTGCTTACAGTCCTCGAGCGCCATATACGCTCCACTGAAGGGCGCATGTTTCTTCAAATTATCCGGGGTGACATGAGGAAGTACACCCCTCGAAGCGACGGCATAGTAATTTGGTGTATCGATGGGTTTCCGCTTAGGAACGCTCAGTTTCCCGAGACGAGCTGCAGTTGTGCCATCCAAGGACTTTTTTAGAATTTCGAAAATCATGCCTTCTGCCCCGTCGACTTTTTCCGCATCACTCATCTTGACACATCGGCGACCCTTCCAGCTGTGTGTGAGTCAACCCTGGTGCCGCAGAGTTCCCGTTGTAGTCGGTTGCCAGGCTCACAAAGAAATCCTTGCAACTTGTGAGGTATATTAACAAAAACAAAGTTTCTCAAATGGCACTCGTTGGTTGTCACTCGCTCACTTTCACCATATCACCATGTCGAGGGTTAGCGGTCGTTCTAGCGTAAATGGTGTGAAAAGGAAAAGAGCAGCCACAGCATTGTAAAAGCCACGCTTTACCATCTGATTGTGGCTTGATCCCTGGCTTGCCCTCCTTCCCTCTCGGAATCTGTGGGACGGTGGATCTGGCGGGAAGCAGGTGCCCCGGCCCCCGGGCCAAGTGATTGCGGCGGGGTCCCGATGGGGGAGACGCTGCAGGGGTTTCTGGGCAGCGCAGATGCATTTCAATTGTAGCCAATCGTCAAATCCCATGTTTTGATCCGATCACCCCATGGCCAAAGCATCTTGGAGTGTACCCGTATGAATGTATGGAGACCTAACGGAGAGTAGCGTTGTTGCTGCTTTTGCACACTGCCTTCAACATTTCACTCACATTCGGTACCGCCGCGCCGGTCGGTACGGCTATCGGGGTGCTTCGGAGGCTTGGGGAATGACGTACATATGCCGTAGCTGATGCAATATTGAACGATTTTCAGATTGAAAGTTTGGAAAGAAGTGACAATTCAATGGTCGGCAGGCTTTCGATGGAATAGTTGAGGCGAATCTGCCACTCTGCGTCCATTAGCCTAAGGAATTGTGCCTCGACAGCTACAGGACAATTCGATTACATATGGCCAACAAGTGTAATGAATTCATGAAGGCATTTGAAATTCGATTGATGTATTATTCAGATCGTGGAACACAATTGTATACCATAAAATAGCAAGCCTATCCCCTCTATCCTCCCATCTATCTGCCAAATGATGATCCGAGATGATCAAATAGGCTCATCTCTAGGCTCAATGAGCACCTCGTTGACAGCAACATGTTCTGGCTGACACAGAGCGTACACAATCGAAGAAGCTACATCCTCGGCGTCCAGGACCTTGGCACCAGTAGGCTCGCCGTACTTCTTGATAGCCTCAGCGTCTGTAGAGATACCCAGCAGCTCTGTGGCCGTGTTGCCAGGTTGAATAGATGTGACGCGGAGACCCGTACCGGCCGTCTCGAGACGCAGGCTCTGCAGAGTTGCTTCCACAAAGAACTTGCTAGCAGAGTAAACACCCAGGCCGGGGAAGACCTTGCGGCCAGCGTCGGACGAAATGGCTACAATGTGACCCTTTCCTCGGCCTAGCATGCCAGGGACCGTAGACGACAAGCAGTGCAAGAGACCCTTGCAATTGACATCGACAGTGCGCTCCCACTCGTCAGTCTGGTTGTTCGCCATCATGGTGAAGTACATGACACCAGCGCAGCTGACCAGAATGTCGACCGGTCCAAGCTTGTCAGCTGCCGCCTGCATGAGCGACTCAACGTCTTCCTTCTTCGTCACATCCGTCTTGTGAATGAGGACCTTGCCGCCAGTGCCAGCAAGCTTGGCCTTGACACCTTCCAGGGCTTCCGTTCGTCTTGCCGCAAGAGCGACATGGGCGCCCTCCTTAGCCAGCCCAGCTGCAACAGCTGCACCGATGCCGGAAGAGGCACCAGTGATGACGGCGACCTTACCAGCCAGACGACCCTTGTTGACGCGAGATGTAACTCCGTTAGCGTTTGCTCGGCGCGGAGGTCGAGAGAGCCAGCCTCTCGCGCAGAAGTGTCGAGTGTAGGTCTCGAGTAGATCAGTATCGATCTTGGGGCGAGGCAGGTTGTACTTGAGCAAAGCGGGAGCCGTAGCCTCGTCCTTGAGGACGGTCACAGCCTTGAGAGTCTCTGCGGTAGGCATACCACCACGAAGGATGTCAACGGTGAAAGGGACGTCGCCTGCAGTGCCGAAACCTCGCTTCTTGGTCCACAACTCCACCCAATCGTCCCAGGGCACGCGCTCGGTCGGGAAACCGAGCTCATTCAGGCTGTCGAAGATGTAGTTCGCAGACACTGGGTTGGGGTCACCAAGGTGGTAGACCAACTGCTCAGAGTCGGCGTGGTTGGCGAGAGTCGTGATAGCTGCGCTGACGAAATCGACAGGCGTCATCTCGGCGAACCATTGGTCAACATACGGCGCCGTCTTGAGGTGTAACGACTCGACAATCAGGGCGTTCAGAAGATCCCATGCGTTACATGAGCCTGTCTTGCTATGACCACTGATCGTACCAGGGCGGTAAACCTTACACGGCATACCTCGACGAGCGGCCTCATAGACCAGCTTCTCAGCCACCCACTTCGTCTGTCCATATCCATCGATCAGCTTGTCGGGAACATCGTCAATGTCAACCATGGCGTCTTCAGAGTGGCCTGCAACAGATGGTGTTAAAACACCGTTTGTGGAAACGTGGTGAAGGGTGGCACCGCTCTTTGACGCCAGGCGTAGGATTTCTCTTGTGCCTCCGACATTGGGGCTTCTCAGTGCAGCATAGGGATAAACCAGGTTGACAGTCGCAGCAGCATGAATGATGACCTCAACACGGGAAACGATGTCATCATAAACCTCTGGGGCAAGACCGAGGTGCTCTCGCGATAAGTTTCCGGGCAGAACCTCCATTCTGTCGAGTAAGGAGTCTTCCCAGATGCCAAGATCAATCAGGTTCTTTCGGATTCTAGCCATTCCAGCAGCACGCATCTCGTCGGTAGGATCCGTGAAGCGGACGAGGCAGATAATGTGTGCCGAGGTGGTCTCCACAAGATACTTGAGAAGGAAGGCACCGAGGTATCCAGTTGCACCGGTTAAGAGCACGGTATTAGCATCATTCAAACGCCGCATAGGAGTGCCGTTGGACTGGATGTCGTCAGGCAGAATGGAATCAGCACGAAGGACGGCTGGGAGGTCCGCTTGAACAGCCGCCGTGTGACCATCACGAGCATCGCAAATCGCTTGCAGGTGTCCTTGCAGTGTTGGCGTACCCGCAAGAGGTGCCAGCGGAACCGGGAATCCAAACTCCTTAGCGAATCTGTTTGCTAGGTCTGCGAGAACAAGGGAGTGGCCACCAATATCGAAGAAGTCGTGCTCCTCTGTGATGGCACTATCAGGCATGTTGAGGGCAGCCGCCCACAGCTTCTTGACGGTTTCGATCTTGACCTTGGTGTTTTGCTCCTTCTCGCCATTGACTGCAAGCTTCGGGCTTGGCGGCGGCGGCAGGGCCTTCAGATCAGTCTTGCCGGAGACGCCGTGAGTAGGGAGTTGTTCAAGCTCGACCCAGTAAGTTGGAAGCATGTACAGAGCAAGATGCTCTCCAAGGACACGTCTAGCTGCAGGGCTGTATCCAGACTCGTCAATGACCACATCTCCTCGGCCCCGCTTGTCATCGTTGTCGCGAACGATATAGGCAACAAGTTGTCTTTCAAGGCCTTCTCCGTGAGAGGAGACAGCGCAGTCACTCACAGCCAAGTGCTTCACAATGGCGTTTTCGACAGCACCTGGCTGAACGGTGTAGCCACGGGTCTTGATCATACCGCCTGCTCGACCAGTGATCTCCAGAAGACCGGAGGGAAGGACTCTAGCGAGATCTCCAGTACGGTACATGCGTGCACCTTCCTTGTTGACAAAGGGATCCGGGTGGAATGCCTTGGCTGTTGTCTCTGGCAGGTTGAGGTAACCCCGCGCCAGGAGGTCGCCGCCCACATAGAGCTCTCCGCTGATATTGTTGCCAACCCTGTTACCGTCTTCGTCCATGATGTAGATGTTTTCTGGGTTCATCGGTGGGCCAACCGGGCAGACACGGGCTTCAAAGTCAATGAATGTGCTGATATCACCGGCTGCGACCTCGTGGGTCTCGCAAGCGCTGTAGACATTGAGGAACCTGGTTTCGGGTAGGGCCTTCATTCCCCTGCGGCAGAGGTCAGTTGTGACTACCTCGCCGTTCAACCAGAGAGACCGTAGCTTGGGCAGGCGCTTGCTCAAGTCAGGGTGACGAGACAAGACGGTTGCCAGAAGGGTAGGTGTCATGAGCGTGTCTGTGATTTGCCGAGACTCGAGCAAGTTGACAAGAGCTGATGGGTCGTAACTTGCACTGTCCGGAACAGCAAAGACAGTCGCTCCCCGCAATAAGGGGCGAAGCATCTCCCACACGAAGAACACATTGCAAGCTACACGATCTCCCGGTTGCAAATCGCTGAGACCAAATCTGAGGTCATATGAGAGCACTGCTGCCCTGTGGGGATTGCAGATGCCCTTCGGTTGGCCAGTGGTGCCAGAAGAGTATGAGACGAACATGAGGCGTTCGAGATCATCGCTGGCAGGCAATGGCGAAAGTTCGCCATTGGCGTGTCCATTGACTGTCGTTTTACTGGGCTCATCAATGACAATGATAGGCACTTCCACCTTGATGTGGTTGACGTGTGCGCTTTGAGTGATAACCACTGAGGGCTTTGCGTCCTGGATGACATCGCGCAGGAGCCCAGAGGGGTATGCGAGCTCAAGTACCAGGAAAGCACCGCCCGCGCGAAGAGCTGCCAATGAAGCGATCACGTAGTCGGCGCTTCGGCTCATGAGCACACCAACGAGGCTATCTCTGCCGACTCCATAATCTCGACGCAGTTGATCGGCAAGAGTCTGCGTCTCTTGGTCCAATTCCGCATAGGTAAAGGTTCGCGATTCATCTTCAAGGGCCACAGCGTCTGGGGTAGCCTTAGCCTGCTGCTCAAAGAGCGCGGCGATATCCTTGGTGATGTCGAGAATAGGCATGTTTATCAGTTGTTTGATAAGGGGTATATGGAAGACAAGTTGACTGGTTGAAACAAAAAGGAATCACCTCTAGAGAAGCCGATGAGAGAATAAACGGGAAGAAAGGCCACAGACAGTGAAGTCTAGATCAAAGGTTGACTGTTGTAGAGGAACAGATTAAGCTCTGGCACCTTAATAAATGTGGCAGAACAACTGTAGTGTTGAGTCTGGGAGGGAAGGAGGTCACGAGACAAGTTGGTTGCGAGAAGCTCTTGCAACCACTCAAGTACTTAGTTGAGGCGAAGGAGTGACGCGAAAAAAGCAAGGCCAACAGAAGCGAAGGCGAAGGTGTGTACCTTGCTTGGCTACAAGTCCCTTACCGGCTAGAGGTTCCTCAACAAGAACGAGTCCCCCGCCGACGAAGCGTACACGTGTAGGGAAGAGACGGTAGCACATGCACACCGACAGCCGTCGCGAAGCGATGAAATGTCGGTACGGGATAGCCCAGTCTAGTCCATAGCATCCACTATCAGACACCATGTCCAATGAGGTACATGGTTGCCAAGTTGACCAGCAGTTTAAATGGGTCAAAAGAAGGCGATAGAAGCCAGGAAAGTTGCTGCATCCAACTCAGTCTAAGATGAAAGAGTGTGGAAGGCAAGGTTCAGCTGGATCGTTTGTCTACTATGTAACTATCAGTACCAGACAAAGCCCTAGCGCCATCAACCGCATTACTGGAGGCTGGGGTTGATCCAACAGTGACCCTAAGCATATAGGCGGAGTAGGATGCCTCAATTGAGAGATTCACTCTCGATATTGCGGTAATTATATCGTGAGCCTGCAAAAAAGTCAACCTTGATGTTCCAAGCACATGTCAAAGTTGCAAGGGCGATGTCGGTGACGAAAAAAGTCTAAACACGTGGGGGCCAGAGTGTCATTATAAGCATGAACAAGTGAGAGAGTTGCAGTTTGTCATTTAAAGCCAGATGAACGCGCAAGATCAATCGCGCATCTGTCAAATGACTCGCCGTTTTTCCCGACAAACAGATGAGGGCGGCGTCTAGACTGCGCCACCAGATCGGTATGGGAGACGGTCCGTCATGTGGCTGAGACTCGGCGTGGGGTATCGGTGGCTAGAGAGAGCGGGTCGCTTGCCCCTCCGACACCCGCTCGCCGCAGCTCCGAAGCAGGATGCAATTCTGTCCGTTTCTGGTCCACTAAAGCGGCACCCACGGTACGTACTCCCTCTTTTGACGTTGCACTTCGTCGCCACGCGGAACGCCGAGCAAGAGCAAGGACCACCCGATGCTCCACCTGCCAGGGCCAAGTCAGACAGGGAACAGAGGTGCTTCGGTGCCGCGGGATCGTCTGCTTCAGGATCACCTGGCTAATGCGGTTCCTGAGCTGTCCCTCAGCCACAGCGCTGTCACCCATAGGCTGCCGTTCTTTCGTCTGAAGTTTCCGAAGCCAATGCGTCGCCTCCGTGAGCAACTCGATGGGAGGCCAGCGAAACATTCGTTTCACGACCGAGAGAGCCTCGTCACTTGATAGCATCGCATTGATACCACGGTTCACTGCTCTTCTGGTATGACCTCTCGCCCGACCCCAATGCCGAGCCATCCTCTTGCTGACTGATCGTCATGGCGTAGCCGCCCTCGGTTTCCTAACCACTTAGGTCCTTAGGTCTCGCCCCTTGTCCGATCCGCCGAATCGTCGACGACTCACCTTACATATCTTGCCTAGCCCCCACGTACATTCCTCCACTATGGATGACCGAAGACATGAGCAGGAACCGCTCTTGAGCATCATGGAGCGACAGCAGGCCGACGAGCCTACGAACCGGGCAAATACCACAGAACATCCCGATGCGCCGCTCGAGGATGGCCCTCGCCGCGAGCTCGAAGTCGATGACGACTCCGGCCCATCGACACCCCGGTTCATGCAGGACGAAGGACACTGGAAGCGCTGGAGATGGGTGCCATTCCCGGTGCGCCGCATCGTGAAGGCTACCGCAAAATGGTCCAAAGGTCCGCCAAACCCACACGATTACGAGATCAAGCCCATCTTTCCTCAGGTTCAAGAGTTCCCTCTTGTGTTGGTTGATCGATACCTACGAAAATTCAAGCACCGGGTCGGCATCGTTTTTCTTTACTTCGCCATTTGGATCATCACATTTGCCTTGGTCAAGAGGAGCGAGACGTTCGCTACTGAGGTTGAAGGATGGGGAGCCCCCTCGCAGATTGGGTGTGGTGCGGCATACTGGACGAGAGGAAATAATTGCGGCCTCAATGGTGCGGACTGCCGCCCGTTCAATGGCAGCGGCTTTGCCTTCAGGTGCTCAGCCAACTGCGCCGGCTACATGGTCTTGAATCCAAGAGCGGTCGGAGACCAGGAGATTGTCTACCAGCCGCTTGTTATCGGCGGACAAACCGACAACACGAGCTCGCCGATTTACCGAGGTGACTCGTTCATCTGCGCCGCTGCGATCCATGCCGGTGTGATATCTAACGATAATGGAGGTTGTGGTGTTGTCCGCCTCGTTGGGCGAAACGAGGACTACTTGAGCTCGGACAAGAATGGGATTGACAGCATCAGCTTTGACTCCTACTTCCCACTCTCGTTCACGTTCGAGCCTGGCATTCAATGCCGCGCCAAAGACCTGAGATGGAATTTGTTGGCGGTCTCGGTTGTTTTCACGACGGTCCTTTCTCTTGTCACGTCATCACCTTCCCTCTTCTTCTTCTCAATCTTTACTGGCATATTTTGGCATGTCGGGCTCGCCTCTGACCCCCCAAATCACTACTCGGTTGCGGACCTAGTATCGAATATCGTTGGCAAATACCTCCCGGCGATGTTCTGCGCCTGGGTTATGTTTGACAAGATGGGAATTCGACGAACGCTCAATGGGCTTACTGCTCAGGTGGAGAAGACGATCTTGTGGCTCGGTGGTTGCTGGGTTGGTGCGCTTACCAACTATACCTTTAGCTTCATTCCCATTCAGCGTCTGAATGCGCATGATCTGAACCAACAGCCGGGAGCAAAGGCAGCGTTGGCCATCATCATCATCGTCTTGGTGGTAATCACCGCCAAGCAAATCTGGTATTTTAGACAGGAGGGTCGTCTCCTGAAATACCTCAAGCTGTACCTCCTATTCGTGGCGGGTATCATTGTATGCCTTGTCCTGCCAGACCTGAGCCTGCGCATTCACCACTACATCCTGGCGTTACTCTTGCTCCCGGGCACGAGTATGCAGACCAGACCTTCACTGCTCTATCAGGGCATTTTAGTCGGTCTCTTCATCAACGGCATCGCCCGCTGGGGCTTCGACGCTGTTCTCCAGACACCTGCGGCCCTCCAAGGCGACGCTCAGCACGGGTCGGTCTTGCCCAGCATTCTCCCACCCGTCATCGACCTAGGTCAAGCTATGTGGAGCATCAACTTCACTTGGGCTACTCCTCCCGATGGAGCGCGCTACGACGGCATCAGCGTTCTTGTCAACGATGTAGAGCGCTTCCGTACCTACTTTGACGATGGACCCGTACCTCCAACGAGTTTCCTCTGGAGCCGCCAGAGCGATCTCGGCATGAACGAATACTTCCGTTTTGGATTCATGGAAGGCAGCGAGAGCTATGACTTTACGAAAGCTGGCATTTGGAATGCGGAAGGCAAATGGATAGACATGCAGCCGGGCCCTTCGATGATTAGGGGTCGGTCACTGGTAGATGATGACGAGAGCGTGCCACGGTGATCTTTGATGCGTGACGATCCTGCTTTTGCTTTAGATGTCTAGAATAGCGTACGAATCTCAAAGACCAGAGTTTGTTCACCATCGCAACTTTTTCGTTCTACTTTGATCAACCGACGAATTTGAGCAAAACTTGGACTCTTTTGATTGTAGTGGTATCTTAGTGTGAATGAGAACATGCTACCCAAAAAAACAAAATACCAAAGTTCGCCCAGATTACTCCATCTTGTCTGCATCAAGATCACACCCCCTTTACGCTCCCTGTCTGCGGCGGCAAAGGGGACGACCACGCTCGAGCGTGTTCGGGTCGCAATCCAACCTGCTGTCCTCAATGCAAGTCAAGCTTGAGCCGCCTATTTACGGAGAGTCTCATTAGCAAACGGCAATACATAAAAAGACCCATACTAGAATGTAAGGGGTTCGGAGTGAGTCTTACAATTGTTGATGCTGTCCGGAACACAACGGCCATTCTGGCCGTTGACGTTGCAGACATCCTGCTTCAAGCTCGTGTTGGCGACGCAGCAGGCGCCGTTAGGGACGGGCCGGTTGGCGTTTGCGCCCTGGCGTTCCATCAGGAGGACGTCGCGGCGGGCTGCGGCCGAGGTGGGGTCCTCTACGGCTGCGGCGCTGGCGCCGATGGCCATGGTGAGGGCGAAGAGGGCGGTTTGAACAGTGAATTTCATGGTGCTTGGGTGTGTGGTGTTCGGCTTGGGGTATCTCGAGAAAAGAACCGATGAAATGAGAGGCTGTTTGTGATTTAAAGTTATGGATACAGTAGAAAGACGAAAAAGAGTGTCCGGCCGGCGGTAGAGAAGCAGAAGAGACTGAACTGTGGTGATGGGGTCAGAGACGGTCAAGGAGAGATGGGACGAGCGAGAATGGCTATTATATGCGTCTGCTCAGGAGTTGGAGCATGAGGCCCGATTAAGCTTCCCCTCTCTTAAGTGTCAAGTTTATAATCCCGTAAAGGCGGCTCACGATGTGTCAAAACGAACACCTCCTGACTTCAGCCGGCCACTCTCAAACAAGCGAGCAACTCGACGCGAGGAGACCGAAGTATTCGGATTTTGGTTTCCAGGATCTTACTGACGGAATGATGAGAGATCTAATGCAAAATCCTGGCAAAGAATGGGGAGGGCCTGGTAACTCTCTCCCCTCTTCTCGGCTGAGCCAGCCGTAAGCGAATAGGAGCACATTTCACCCTCGCTTGCTCGTATCCAAAAAGCAGAGATCTTGAGCCTCAAGGAGAGAGAAGGGGAAAGAGAGCAAGAAGAAGAGGGCCTGTCGTCTCATGCAACATCCCAAAAGGGATCGAAGCCAAAAGAAGCTCAAGTACGGATGAGACGAACAGGGGTGAGGGAAAGGGCTCATTTCTCTATTTTGGCAGCCTCTCCGTCACAATGCTTGAACGCACAGGTCCAAATATGGATTAGTCCAAGGGATGTGTTCGGGAGATGCGGCGACGATGTGACTGTTTGGGGTTTTGCGGTGTAAGATGGTGGGGATTTTTTCGTCTGGACAGTCGATGAAACGTGTAAGAGGCTGGGGGGTTAGTCGTGGGCTTCCCCTGCCTTTCGGCGAATCGCCGTCGGTAGAAGAGGCCGAATTTGGGGGAGGCGTGACTAACAGAATTTGAAAGTTGACTCTTCCTGAGATGCACGGGAGGAAGAGAAGATAGACTTCAATTTTTGGGTCACTGGCGTGTAAGTGAATTAGGTAGGCTGAGGTGGGCATTGAAAATGTGCCTTACGAGATCCTCGGTGATCACCACGACGAGTGACTATTTGGGTTGGGTGTTTCTATGAAGTATCTGCAAGTGCACACTATGTAAACCGTCCAAGCAAATGCCACAGGACCGTGGTCTAGAACATATTGGGTGATGAGAAAGATCTGCCGAGTCTATCACACATCGTGGGGTATCGTCCCAGTGACAACCATTTGATCCACCAAACAATACGCATCCCCGATATCTGCCGTCCGATCTCAGATAGCATGTAGATCATCTTCGGACTTCAATAGCCCGGGAGTCGTGGGACTGATCTCATGTTCAGCAAAAGTCTTACTGGCTTGCTTCTATGTTGAACGTGAAAATAGAGCTCTGACAGCTCAAGAGGTGCTTCTGGCACGGTGTCAGACGTAAGCAGTTTTGAGCAAGACCTTTACAATCAGCTGCAGAATATCCGTAGCCGACCTAGTTGTGCCTCTGGGACGGAATCAATCAACGAGTTGTCGACCTTCAAAGTCGCAACGACAGTACGTGAGCAGTGACGTGCTTCACGCCCAACTACATGTTGAAAGCACTGTCATTTTCCGATGCAAGCTTGGAATCGCAAGAAGACTGGATCAAAGTTGCTTTAAACATTTATTGAGAATATCCTCGCGAGCCACCAGAGCCCAAAACGAGTTTTGCACCAACCCACCCCCTGGTCGGCTACATTAATCTGGACCTCACTTCTATGAACCAGGTAAACCTCCTTTACTCCTCGTCCTCCTCCTCAGCAGCCTCGACAACAGCCTTGCTCGCCGTCTTGGTTCCCTTCTTACCCGTACCCTTGGCCCCGGCAGCGCCAGCGTTTCCGCCGGCGGCCTTGATGGACTGGTCAACAACGTCACCGGCCTTCGTGGCAGTGGCATCGTCCTTGGGCACCTCGCTGGCGGCTGGGTTGTCGGTGGAGGCGTTGAACTTGAGGGCGGTCGCGGGCTTGCCGGCGTTGGCGATGTCGTCGGCAATGTTCTTGTTGAGCTTCTTGGTCTCCTCGTCCAGCTTGGCCGTCACGTTCTTGCCCTGCGCCTGCTGAGCCTGCAGGCCCATGACGGTGGCCGTGAGCTTGAGGACCTTGTTCTGGATCTTTGCGCGCTGTAGTACCATGTTAGTCGCCTGTTTCGATAGATAGAAGAAGATCCCGATATCTTACCTGAAGGGCCAGGGCGTCCTCGCCGGGTGCCGTCTTTGCGATTTCAACATTGTAGGCACCGCGCTCGGCCTGGTTGGCAATCTTGTTGACGTTGTTGAGGAAAGCGAGATCCGCCTTGTCGACGGTGGACAGGTCCGTCGGCAGACCGCTCAGCTTCTGGAGGGCATCCTCCTTTGCGGTGCCGGCATTCTTGCCGCTGATGGATAGCTCGTCAAAGGTCTTGGCCGTCGCGAACACGGCGGCGCGCTTCTGGAGCTTGCTGCCAGACGAGGAGATGTCCCGGGAGGGGGCGGCCGAGGCAACGGCGACGAGAGTAGTGAGAACGGCGGAGAACTTCATTTTGCCTCAGTGTTTAAAATGGTTTATAAGAAAAGAAGGGTAATAATAGAAAGGAATTGATTATAGATGTTTCTTGAGCGAAAGACGGGTCTGTTGGAAACGACAGCACAGCTGTGAAGAAAGAAAAAGTGAAGGTATTGGAACTGAGGCAACAGATATTGAGTTGATGAAAGAGCTGGGTATCCGAACAGCCCGGCGGGATGTCTGACGATCTTATAGATCGAGTGGAGGCCTTCCTCCATTACTGCCTTACCTACACCTAACAAGCTCATCTCAATGTTGTCTCTCCATCCATGGAAGAGCATTGACGCCACAGGACGAACGTTCGGCGGCGCCGTCGGAAGTGACCAACTCTCGTCAGCGTGTAACGATTCCCGCTTCTCGTCTTCTTCCTCGAAAGAGGTAAAGAGAAGAGCGAGGAAGCAGGGCTGGCGGCGGGCGCGGAGGCCGTTTCAGGGTGAGATCATTCCGTGCTGGGGTCTATGGACAATCATCTTGTACAAACATAGGACGGGTCCTTCGCTGCCTTGCGGTGAAGAACACTATCCGAAAGAGACGGAAATTGGAGGAGAGAAAGGGAGTCTGGAGACCCGACAAGCGGTAACCACACTGGTGGATCGTCCCTCTACACAGTAGACGTCCAAAGACGCGGGTGCCGGGGCCTTCCTTGCCCAGTATGGAGGCTGAGCCTCAATGCCATCCCCTCCACACCTAGCCGTCTTGCATGTCGTCTCATGATGTGATGGCGACGAGTAAGGTACAGAAGTTGGAGAGAGGGGGGAAGGACACGAGAAAAGGCCTCGAGTCAGCCGGCGCAGCGCAGCGTTGTGCGTGCTTTTGCTGCGACGAACACGCAACCACTTGGCCACGAGGCAACCACCGCCGCCTGAACTGTGCGGGAAGATTGCAGGACAGCCAGCACGGAGTGCTCTGAGGGAGATTGAGGTTGTTGGCTGACGGCGGTGCTGAAGTGCGGCTCTCGCTCATGCGAGAGGAAAAGTCAATCTTGAGACGAGTTTTACTGATGTTTTTGACAGCCTGAACCTAGAAGAAGAGATGAGATTGGTGTCTGTGTGAAGAGCAGCTATGAGCGTTCAAAGGTCAGATTTAGCCGCTAGGTCTTTCAAATCCATCAGAAAGATGAATATCTAAACCTCTCCCCCAGACTTAATGTCCCGCATGTGTCCCTGAAGAAAGTAATTATGGATAGATTGTAAGGTTATTGCCCCCCATATTACACGCTCACGGGAAACATACGGTGGGCTAGAAAGATTGGGTAGGCGGGAGGGAAGTGATTAAAGTCAGCCCTGCGGTGATTGCAAGCATTGAGAGGCTGAAAACTGTTAATCTATCACACATGGCGTTTGAAGCTTGAATTTCGTCCGGGAAAAGTGGAGACGGCGGTTGTGTTATTTTCTGCCTGTTAATTTACGTCTTGTTCCTCCACTCACACAACGCTCACTCGCCGCTGCGTGAGCAAGAAAAAAAGCTCGTGTCACTGAGAGTTCAAAGTTCAAACTCCCAGTGTGAGGAGCCGAAGGTCCCGCCCCACTTGGAGATAACTTCACCTCATCCGACCTGACTGCTCAAACCATCCACACACGCCTAGTCCTGCCCACCTCACGCGATCAACACTTCACCAGGCCAACCCAGCCCGTAAACACTAAACATACGCGGCTTGTCGGACTTTATTCCTTCTCATCACCATTCATCAAATCCCGGCCGAAAGAAAAGTCCAGAACAACAAGGGTGTACTCTCGCCCAACTACTCAACGCATCACGTTTCTCAGAAACCGCAGACTTTCCAGTCACACTCAACCCAAACGCCAAGACCACAATCCAGACTCACGCCAACAACCTAGACAACAACCAAAAAAATGCCTCCCCGGATCCCAACCCCAGAAGACTTCACCCAAGTCCAAAAAGTCCTCCCCCTAACCCTAGCCTTCCCAAACCCCCCGGAATCCACCACCGCAATCCTCCTCCTCTTCCACGGCCTAGGCGACTCCGAGGTCCCCTTCGCCTCCTTCGCCCGCGCAATGTCCCTCCCGGGCGTCCTCTCCATCTCCCTTCGCGGTCCCTCCCCGCTACCCCCGTCCATGCTGCCCGATGACGGGCCATCCACCTCCTCCGCAAACTCCTCCGGCCACTTTCACTGGGGCGACGACATCACCTTCGACCCCTCCACAGACGCCCTCGCCACGGACCCTGGCTTCTCCAAATCCTCAACCCTCGTCGTAGACCGCCTCATCCGCGACACCCTCGTCGCCCGCTGCGGCTGGGAACTCAGCGACATCATCCTCTTCGGCTTCGGCCAAGGCGGGTCCCTGGCCTTGGGCATCGCATCGCAGCTCCGTCTCGGCCCAAAAGTCGTAGACGTGACCGAGTCCTCTGATCCCACGGCTGCTTCCTCTGCATCCAAACCCAAG